AGTGCTACGCCGCTGGAACTTTTTCTTTTTTTTTGCAACAGGTGAATCTCACTGTCTCATCCAGAAATCAAAATTTGGGGACAAAATTTACATAATTCGTATTACAAGACTCTTGCTACGCCCCTGGATGTTTTTCTCTGTTTAGCAACGGGGAATTTCACTTTGTTTCATCTAGAAATTAAAATTCGGGGTCAAAATTTACTTAATTCGCACTACAAAGCTAGTGCTACGCCCCTGGAAGTTTTTCTCTTTTCTGCAACGGTTGAATCTCACTTTTTCCGTCGATATATTTTAATTTGTGGACAAAATGCTCGATATTCCTTCTTCAGTGGAGATACAGTATACGGGGATTCATATGCATGGCTTCTTAGACTCCAGTGGCGTACTATTTAATCATTTAAAAAATGTAAAACTGCCTCGAATTCATTAGCGATTATGAAATGTTTTTTTTTTACTAAGAAAGAGTAAAGGCGGTTCATTGTAATGCAAATCGCGCAGGGCTTTTGAAAATCCATTGTTAAAAGGAATAAAAAAATCGCAAACAAAAAATTTCCAGGCCGACGCCGTAAGGATAATCCGTATTTTCTTGCGTATTATAAGTACGTCAGCTTGTGAGGTGGAAAACCCTAACTTAATAACGGCAGAGATCCTGGTAATGGAATTTTCAGATGAAAATGCTTAAATTACTGCCTAACGCGGGCATTTGCTTTTTTAGTCGCGTTAATTCGTCAGACGTAGAAACAAGCAAATGCATAATTAAAACGCCCGCCTGCTTAAGCTCCGCCGTAACCACTCGCATGATTTTCCACACGTAACGAGGACAAGCAGGCTTTAGCCGAGACGAACGCCCCAAGAACGGGCTTAGCCTAAATTCCTGACTGAAATACCAATTCCCCTAATAAGATCCTGATTGTGTGTAAAATAATGCAGGGGGCGAGATAAGCACGGATTATGGTCCTGCATGCGTAATTAGGCTTCTTATTAAATTATGGAAATTGACTGGCGAAAAAAAGAGATCGTGCCGTCAGCGACCTCGTGCGGTTGGTTCGCTTACCCTTTCAAATTAATTTTTACAAACAAAATGGCGCGCGTTTCTCACGTCTTTGTCCATACGCGAGCACGTCTGTTAATTTTCTTTGCGAAGGGCCTTCGGGCGTGTGTTTCCTTGGTAACTTTGGCGAGTGGTCGCCTTTTTTTTTTATTCATTAAAGAGCCTGATCACTTTGAAGTAACGAAGTTTCTCCAACGTCAAAGCTTAAATTAGCCGGACGTTTTCTTTCCGTTCGCTGCGCGCTTTAATTCCACTTTCTTCGCGTAATTAAAATTCAAATGTCGCAGGTGAATGGGAGTGGGTAATTAGATCGTGATACAACGCTTGGTATGTGATAAGCATCGTTATAGTACAACATTAACACGTCTTTTGCAGCGACGTACAGAAAACAGTAGAAGCTGCGGTTGGTGTGCGCATGACATTAAATTAAGAAATGGAAAAATCTTATTTAGATGTCATCAACCTGTACGAAGTAAATAATCACAACCTTGCGCTGTTATTTTGATGGTACTAACTTTTACGGAGGAGTATCCTCAAACAGAGGTATAGCGAAACGAACACCCTGTACAACGACTCGAGTCAAATAAATCATACAATGTTCGCGCAAGTCTCGCAATTTTACAAAATGCAACGTGAAATTTGCGAGTTCATTAATTAATGGCACGCGAAGAGAACTGTCCGCCGTGAATTATAACGTTACATTCTAAAATTCTCATTCCCGTTTATCTGAGAAATTAAAGCCGAGAGGAAATTTATCGCGCGAAGAGGTTATAAAGAATAAATTCCTTACATCTGGTGGGGTGCACGCCCTGGTCCTTTTAAAAAATAATTCGTAATGGAATTTTTAGGTAGGACATTCTGATTAACTTTCAGCAACAAGCCGGTAGTTTTTATCTACTGCGGCGTGTAATAAAAGACTAATTCGTCATTTATGCGTAATGAAAATTGCGGTGCTCCCTTTTTTCCTCCTCGCACTCACGAATGTGAATTTCAGGAAACTACACACTGACGTGATGAAATAACCCTCGTTATACAATAATTACAATATGAAGTTTTAGAGCTAATGCTCTTTTGTGTAATCGATAGGATTAAAATGCAATATATCGGTTCGCTATAAGCCGGATTTAAAACAGATCCGCTTTGTACACGTAAAATGGGTCGCAATTATGAATTTATTTTCTCTGTCCATTACTGTATACGATCAAAACGCGTTGGTGCTGTGACCTGGATCTGAACTATATTAACATTAATTTTGTCTATTTTGAATTAGTATCGAATTTTTTCGGTTTCAATTTAGTATGCTATCGGTTAGATTGAAATACACAGGGTGTTCCATTTAAAAAAAAGTTCGTATTTCGGAAATGGAACAATTTTCAAGAATCATTTTCAGGAAAGTAGCCCAATCTTGGAACTGTTTGAAATTATGGATTCTACAGGCCACATTCTATCAGAAAATTTGTTTCCGGGTCGATCTGAGACAATTTTTCTTTCGGGGTTCAAAAAAAGGCAGTGTACAACCTTCCTTTTTTTACCAAAAATCGACTACACCAAAATTTCTCGGGAAAACACTTTTTCTTATTAATTTGGATGCCTAGAATCCAAATCAATTCGTACTTTTTCGATCAGACTTCTCAATCAAAAGTTATAGACTAGAAAAACCAATTTCGAAAAAAAATTCAAAGGGCTGTAACTTTTGAACTAGTAGCCCAATCTTGGAACTGTTTGAAATTATGGATTCTACAGGCCACATTTTATAAGAAACATTTTTTTCCGGGTCGATCTGAGACAATTTTATTTTTCTGAGCTCAAAAAAGGCAGTGTATTACCTTCCTTTTTTACCAAAAATCGACTACACCAAAATTTCTCGGGAAAACACTTTTTCTTATTAATTAGGATGCCTAGAATCCAAATCTATTCGTACTTTTTCGATCAGACTTCTCAATCAAAAGTTATAGACTAGAAAAACCAATTTCGAAAAAAAATTCAAAGGGCTGTAACTTTTGAACTAGTAGCCCAATCTTGGAACTGTTTGAAATTATGGATTCTACAGGCCACATTCTATAAGAAAATGTTTTTTCCCGGTCGATCTGAGACAATTTTTTGTTCGAGCCTCAAAAAAAGGTAGTGTATTATAACCTTCCTTGTTTTTACCAAAAATCGAATGCACCAAAATTTCTCGGAAAAACACTTTTTCTTATTAATTTTGGTGCGTAGAATCCAAAACAATTCGTACTTTTTCGATCAGACTTCTCAATCAAAAGTTACAGACTAGAAACCAATTTCGAAAAAAAATTCAAAGGGCTGTAACTTTTGAACCAGTAGCCCAATCTTGGAACTGTTTGAAATTATGGATTCTACAGGCCACATTGTATAAGTAAAATTTTTTTTCTGGGTCGATCTGAGACAATTTTTTTTTCGGAACTCAAAAAAGGCAGTGTATTACCTTCCTTTTTTACCAAAAATCGACTACACCAGGCAAATGGAATACCCCAGGCATATGGAATAGTCAATCTTCATTTACCTGCAACTGATATCAGACATTGGTACAGTTGGGGTGTATTCCATACCCTCTCCAGACCCCCCGGTTTTAGTAGCCTTAGCACTTACACCAAGATTTTTCTATAGTCTTGAGACTGAAAGTTTTGTGGGAGAACATATGATCCGAGAGGTCTGGAGGGTGTGGAATACCCCACAGGCAATGGAAATAGGCCCCTCCAGACCCCCCAGTTATCATTCTTAACGAAATTGTTTAGTAGCCTTAGCACTTACACCAACTTTTTTCGAAAGAGTTTTGAAACTAAAAGTTTAGGAGAGGAACGTATCACCGAGGGGTCTGGGAAGTATCCCCCCCCCCCTGTTCCGGAAAAAGAAATAGTCTTGCAACTGACTTCAGACATTCGTACACTAATCGAAACATACCGTGGAAAAAGACTTTCGTAATGTTCTCATGGTACCCAGAGAATTTGAAACTGATTCTTTTCATTCATCATATTCTCCTGGTAGCCAGAGCAATTATGCAAGGTTTTCAAATCTAAAACTCCGTGTATCAGGTTATATAAAGACTTCGTGTTTTATATTACCTTGATACAAGATCTTGTAAAAGTTTATACGTCGCGTCGTCTAGTATAAAAACAGTCGTAGGTAGCCGCCCAATGCAAAGAGCAAACAACGAAAATAACGTGCTGAAAATTTTCTCGAAAAAGATTCATCATGTTCACATACAGAGAAACTCCGTGCGTTTTTTTAAGTGACTTCTTAACGCTCCGTACGCACTGCATGTTTTGCACGGGAGTAAATTCATCTCATCAGTCCAGAAGAATCTTGTGCGAACTGAAGGCGAGTTAGGCATTATTAAAGCGCACTTCATCGGCACTATGAAATTAAAATGGGCGATGTGTCTTTGAAATGGACTAATGTACATATTTTAAGTGTATTTAATAGCTTCGGAGTAAATAATATGAATTTTAGATTGGCAAGCTCGCTGTTTCTTAATTTACAACGGCCGATGTCGCGGGTTCGAACCCAAGCGCCCGCGTTTTTTTTTTAATACATCGCGGTAAAAAGAAGGAAGAGACTTAGTGTTAGAGAGTAAGAAGTATGTTGTCACTTCTGTCGGCACTCTTGAAATGCTACTTTTGTGCCCGAAGTGATTCTAAATTCCCGGTATTTTTCTATTTTTCTTGTTTTTTTGATTATTTCGAATGATTTTCTGAATTTTCTAGAATTTTAAGTTTTGTGTACATCGAATCGTCCCTTTTGTTCTACAAAAATATTAAAGTGAGGAATGTTATCTTTCGAGCGAACCCTAAATATGCTATTTGACTAAAAAATTCATAATCTTCCTTCGGCGAACGACTAAAATATGCAAAATGTCGAGTTGTCCGCGAACTTTTTTCTCAACGCAAAATTGCCGTAATTGAATTTAAAAATTGCCTACTTTTCTTTTCAGCCTGAAAAATTAAACGTGCACAAGAACGACTCCGAGAGCTGGGATTACACTATATCAATGGGTAAGTGCTCTCTTACGTTACCTTTTTGTTTATTATTAACACAAGAAACATTACTCTCATTCCTTACAGTTTAAATAATACATAAATATGTCACACCGTACCTTCAACACTAATTAACATTGATTTTGATAAATGCAATGTCGTTAGCACGCATTACACAACTCCACTCTCGAGAGGTTTGTTGCTATTTTAATCACTTGGCCTTTTTGCTCGGGGAGTCCTTGCGATAAGGAATGCGAGGTCTTTGTCTGGAAGTATTTGGACGAACTGATTCGCGTCGAGGATTATAATTAACTAGTAAGAAACGCGTTTTACCGGTCAATTATTAAAATGCTAAGAATGACCCTTGAATCGCGTTATTCAATTTTTGAGGTGTTTTGCATGGGAGTAAAATCACGCGTCAGTTTTGAATCTGCATTTGAATGGAAATATCGCATTAAAATCGTCGATCTGTACAGTCGACCATCTGAACATTAGTCTTAATAATTTGGATTCTAATCCGGTTCTTGATTCAAAGTTAGATTAAGAATACCATTCTGGATCAGAGTATGATTATCATTGTTTTGTTTGGGCAAGCCGAGTGGTGGTCTAGAAAATAATTTTCAAAAAGTGATTGTTAAAATAAAGTAAGTTGTTTTGATCCAATTTTTAAACAGCGCGTAACGCAGATGTAACATCAAAGCTTACGTAATCCGAGAACATTGATATTGAACAGAAAAAGTAATTAAGACAAATGGTTCGCGACGACTTCTTTTGTGGATTTTTAATTACTTTTAAATGAAAAATACCGCAACGCCAGCTGAAAAATGTTGTATTACACCAGAAGCTACAACCGATTGATATTTGTTTAAAGAAAATAAGCAACAGACTCGCACAAATAAACGAATGAACTCTCATTGGAGGCGGCGGCATTTTAATTTTCACGTTAATTTGTGGTTATGTTTACGCTGTCAATATCGCATGTTATTCTAGCACATCAGCTCGCTTTTATATATACATCGGGTGACGTTAAAAGGATACTATTAATTTTTTTTCGATAACTTCCGCGTGATGCCGCAGAAGCGCGCGCGAGTTATTTTTAGAACGAGCCAAATTTCTAATTACGTCCTGTCGAGCGAGAGATTATGGTGCTAATTCGTACCTAGCGTCTTAAGTGCGTAATTTATAAATTTTGACGAGAAACAGACAGATTACGCCTCGCGTGCGCGCACGTTGTTTTATAAATACGCGGTTTCGATGCTTTAATGGAATCGAGTTTTAAACGCGAGCACTTGTGAAGCTAATTTTATACTCGAGTGCGTTTTAATGCGTACGAAAGCTTTGATCTGCACAAAATCGAAATTTCCAACAACCTATAAAGTAAATGTGACGTACCACAGGGACCCATATCAGGACCAATTTTGTTTGACTTAAACTTTGCAACACAATAACAATAATGATGACTAAAAGTTACTAAAAATTTGATAGAACAGTCTCTAGAAGGATTTCAAAAATTGGTCTCAAAAAGCGCGGGAACGGGAGGTATCACCGAAAGATACAAGATTAAGTTTATACATCTGGAAATATTTGCGTATTTGCGATAAGAAGTTCCGTTATCGCCGCTCGGGCTAATTAATTTGAAGATAAGCACGTGTTACCCGATAATTTGATAAGAAGAAATGGTTCGCAAAGTTTAAACGAAAGCGAAATTGTTTTAAATAGTAAACTACTGGTGGAAGTTGAATCGTAGCCGCTTATTGTTTTGGTGGATTTGAACATATTTGTTGCAATAACGTTTTAGAAGAAAGATAGTTCAGTGCTGCTGTAAGAAATTTTTATTACACCGTTTAAGTCGAATTAAAGTAGTAGTAGTACCTGTTAAACGGAGTTTTTCCACCATCAAAGAGCCAGTATTACATCTGAAATTACACTATCTAAGGCAAAATTTAAGTGCAAGCAATGAAGTTCTCAAAGTTGATTAATTAATTGTTTCAATCGATACCTTGTCGCGTGGGATTTGTACTTTGGCTCTGAGTCCCTTTCAGATTTTTGATTGATTTTGCCGAATAAATTTGTAAATGATCTATTATTTGTTTAATCGAGCCCAAATTAGGACCCAGAGTAGTTCTCATGCTAATTTTTTCTGTTGGTACTGGGTTACTCCAGGTGTTTTAGCACATAGCAATTTGCCTGCCTTGACCCTACAGAAGTAAGCCATTGTAGTGACTTTTGTAGTAATTTTTCTGGTGACAAATGTTAATGATTTTTATGAGTTATTCAAAAATCATTGTAATGACAGTCGGGCTTCAATTAATTTGCGTATTATGATCTACTATACAGGGTGTTAAGTAATGTCATTCGGATATTTCAGGGGACGATAGTACTCGTCAAAGTAAGAAAAAAATGCATGGTCGAAAGGGCGCCGTTTTCGTTATACAGGGTGGCAAACTTTCAATTTTTTTTCCCGTATTTTGCATGTTCTCTAGTAATTGTTTCAAATTTGTTACATCAGTTTTTTTAGGATCTCTGCAATGAAGTATCAAAAGAGTTGGTCGCAGTATACAGGGTGTTACATTTTTTTTTGCAACCCTATATAACGAACACGACGTCCTTTAGACCATGCATATATTTGCATTTTTTTAATTTTAACGAGTACGATTACCCTCTAAAATATCTGCACGGCGTTAATTAACACCCCGTATACAACAATTTCCCGAAAAAGTAGCACATTCGTTACATGGTCTCTGTGTAAAAGTATGGAATGTGTCGGAAGTTACCAAACATTGATTGAATCTTTTCAAAATATGCGCAGAATTTCTACATACTCTGCGGACCCTCTACATGATCCAGCAGTCGCCATCTTGGATTTTGAACAAAGATCGTGTGAAGGGATTCCCCAATGCAAGGTCGTGCTCTGGGATTTCCCAGTTACGTAACTGAGAAGTGCCCTGGAATTTTCTCGGCGAAAAAGTCGAAAGGTTACATAACTAAGAGGTGACCTTGTTTTATGATGCAAGGTCGCGCTCTGGGATTTCTCCGACGAAAAAGTCGTGAACTTAGTCATTTTCCTAACCTTGCGAGTGGTTCTGGTCTTGACTAAAGTAACATGGGTTCTTGTCCTAGCTTCGTGCGGAAATAATTCGCGCGGACTCGCGATTGCTCAAATATATTGGCGCTTTCACGGATTTATTGAATTAATTTTAATTATTTCTTTGGAATGAAAGTTTGTTTTTGATTAATTAATTTTACTACGCGATTTAATTTGAAATTCTGTGGTCGGAGTCAATTTGTTATGCAAAATTAGAATCGAAACTTTGGTTATAACGACCTTTTGAGCTCAGAAGGGCGCTTTTCCGTCTTATATGTAACAGATCACACAAACACAAACGTAAATCGAATACTAAAACCGTAATTAATACTCAATAAGAATCAATAATTCAATTTACTTTAACTAAATATAAATAAAATTTTGACTCGACTACGAATCGTCCGTGCAAATCGGTGTATAAAGCATAAACTTCAAGAAAACTATTTTTCAATGCAGAAATAACTAAATTTCTATACAACAGCAATGTAATTCAAAATGTAAATAAGATAGTATGAACAATTTCTTCGGAGTAACACAAGAAATTTAACTTATAGACGTAGATATCTGTTTCGGACTAGGTCCCGGTAACTTCAAAACCTCATTTACAACGCAACGGTAACTAGTATCTTCGTATAACGATAAAAAAATTGCAAAAAATCGCTCTTACAACTAAATTGGCCTTCGTTTTATAATTAGCTTGGCTTAACTAACTTCAAATTTCATTTTATACCTAAGACGCTAATTAATTTTACACTTAAATGGGAAAATAAGTCAACTAATTCAAAATTAACAGTTAAAATAGAAACCTTGTCCGCTAATTGAAAATCTTACACTTGGCTGTACTATCCTAATGAGTCTAGATTAATGGAAACAAAATGAGGTATTTAATAGCAAATTGAATTTATCATTATACCCTAATTCGATTGGCAATTGGATTTTTACAATACCTGCGTCGATCCCATAGAAATTGTCTTGACTCAGTATTCCCCTAGGTCAAAGTTTGTATTTGTGGTATATGAAGTTGCAGGACAGTGGACAGTGGTAAATTTGTATATAGATTTCTCTGTATTGGTACAGACGAGTAATAACAATAACACCACATACATTATATTTAGGTAAATGGAAATCAATCGTAATAATGTGACAGACGGACACGCTTCGAAAACAATCGTACGCGCATTTTCTATATATGCACCTTGACGTTCCGCCCAGATTGAAAAGACACGACGTCAGCCTTCCTGATGTCAAGATGCGTCTTTGTTGAATAACAGATTAATTACGTTCGAGATAAAAGTTCAGTGCGACTTGAGGCACGCGTAGATTTTTTTTTCGGCCGCATATACCTTTTCTATTTTCAGTTTGCGCGAATCTTTATTGAATCCCTTGGAAATGTTTGCGTAATGTTAGGAATATTTAGCAATCTTTCCTCAGTTTTCCAGTGATCGCAAAGAGTTTGCCACAGGTGAGCATTTTAGAACTGCGTTTTCCCATTTTCGAGATTTAATACAAGCGTTTCTCGAATTATTCCGCAAATTAGGTCGCATGGGCGAAATTACGATGCGAAACTGAATTTCTAACTAGCTACGGGACCCATTAACCTGCGTCTATCTCGTCTCATCAAAGTACGTCGTATAAGCATCATTATACTATATACGTCCTGCTCCGTTGTTCTCGTACACCTCATAACATAAACGTTTAATTCATTTTCATAAACTAATTTTGCCAATTTGTGTTCCTGGCACGCCATCAATTTTAATCGAGTATCGCATTTCTGACGGAAGCTTCTGCCACTGATTGACAAGATTACGATACACAAATTTTCGGCAGCAGTCACTGTTGGTTTAAATATTTACGTTGAAACATCAACAATGAGCGTTTAGTTGAAAATAAATGTCCGAGATAAATAAACTTCAGAAAAAAAAAACAGATGGAG